TCAAAAAAAAAAAAAAATTCAGGCCTTTGTCAAAGTCAAGTTAAAACTTAAGATAATATCATCTCAGTTTTCCTTTATAATTAGAAATTTATGTCAGAGCTGTTATAAATTTGTCAGTAACTGTTAAATATGTTCAGGCATCTAAACCATTTGATAATTTTGGTTTTATGATTTCTGTTCCCTACCTTGTAAAAGACATTGGGAAGTCAGGCAGAGAAGTCCACTGTCTAGTCAGTGTGTGTACCTACACTGTATAGCTGTTATTCCACAAAAGGGTACGTCTTTTATAGATGCCTTATTACCTAGCAGAATAATTTTGATTTACTTAAATTTATTATACTTCTGTAATAACTTTTAAATATTAATCTCCTATTCTGAGCATACAACTTACAAGGCATCAAGTTAGATAATTTTGATTACAACATAAAATAAATGTGATTATATCACAGCATAGTCCAAATAGTTTAAGTTTAGTGGGGGAAACACAGAGCATGTGTCCATCCATTACCAAAAATTGACTGTGATTTAAGGTTAAAACTCCTATTTATCTGCACAGTAAATTTCACAAACTTGCCTTGACCGTTTTAAGTTTGATAAGTTTCCTCTAACATATTTGAAGTTTGGAGTGTAAATTTGCGTATTGGTAATACTCAGTAACTTGTTATTTCAGAATTTTTCCCCATCTGTATACTGAGAAATACAGATATTTTAATCTAAATTGCTGTGTGATTTGAGGATAGTTATAACATCTGATTTACTTAATTTCATTTGATCTTGATTCATTTTTTTACTTGATAAACTATAAAATCTTGAAAATCATTTGTCATCTTGATAATAAAGAAAATATATAAGGAAATACAAACTTTATTCTTAGAAATGTTAAAATGGTATGTGGAAGCAAAAAATTAGATAGTATGTGAGACTTATAATGCTTTCTTTTAATTAACTTTGTTTAGTGAAAGTGATATCAAGAGTTAACCTTAGAAACTTGTTGAGTAAAAATGTTTTCTACTTAACATATTCTTTAAAAAGCAATGCTGCTATATTTAGTACCCTAAAGTCTAAAAAGAGTTGCACAAAACTATTTTCTTTCCTTCCCACTCTCAAATACGAAGTTCATTCCAATAAGTGAACTACTTAAAGAACATGACAGCCCAGCAAGAGAAGTATTAGGCAGTACCATAGTTAATAATTTCTAAAACCCTGGGTGCCATAATTTGGTCCCCCTTACAATTTAGTGTTTTAAAAATACATGGCTTCTGTCCGTCATCCTTTTAAATAATAACAGCATAAGAGCAAACTCAAAATAGCCAGGTGTTGTGGCGGGCGCCTGTAGTCCCAGCTACTCAGGAGGCTGAGGCAAGAGAATCGCCTAAGCCCAGGAATTGGAGGTTGCTGTGAGTTGTGACACCATGGCACTCTACTGGGGACGATAAAGTAAAACTCTTCTTTAAAAAAAAAAAAAAAAAAAAGAGGAAACAACCAAACCTACATAAACAGCAAAAGTTAACCCTTAGGAATTATCTTTATGCTGGTAAATATCTTTAGGATTCAAGGCACATTAGGATTTGTTTCAATTTATTTATTCAACGTCTTTACTGTGCTTTCTTATTTAACAAGTTTCTGAAGTATAAAATTTGAATCTGATTTCTCTGTATTTTCAGAAAAGGTATTTTAAACATTTTATGTTGCCTTTCCAATGTCCAGAAGTGTATCTAAACTTAGGAAGTGACCTATAGTTTTTGAAAATTATGTTTTCCTAGAATGTGCCAGATTATTTTATTTACTCTCTCTAACAAATAGTCAACATCCTGTGCCTAGTTTCTGTTTAGAACAAAAGTGCATTATCGTTTTTAAAGAATCATGCATCCCCAAATTGGCCTAAGATCAAATTTAATATTGGATAGTTTATTCCAGGGCAGATTTTATAAATTGAAACACATTTCTTTTCATATATGTTCTGAAATGTTTCAAAAGATCTAAAATAAATTCAACAGCAGAAATATTAATTTTTTAAATTATTATAGCCTTTATGCTGTTCAAAGTGGAAAAAATTATTATTGACTTGAGTCAGATGTTAAAATTTTAGTGTAGCAATTCATCTGGCCTCAGTGCAAGGTGAGTCACAGTGGAAACTGCAGAAAGGAGACTTGTTCATAAGAACCAATTTAAATCTGTGGCAGCATCAGATAAAGCCATGTGTAATGATAATGATGTTCACATAAGGAAAGTATGTGAATATGGCTTTTGCAAACTATGTGATTGTAATTTTAGCTTATACTCTGTATTCTGCTCTCAAATGGAATTATTTAAGCCCTTTTAGTGACCTTTGTCCTTGCCCATTTAAAAATTAAAATCTAGTATATATTGTATAAAATGAACATATTGTAGCTTAATTAGGGATACTGTACATAGGTATTGAAAGAAGGGTAAAAACAAGCAGTTTTATTATGCGATTGTAAAACACCAAAAATATAGATTCATCTTTGATATGTAACACACTAAATGTATTTTGTACAGCATCTGGTTTAAAAGGTGCCTTATTAAGTTTACCATTAATTGCTTTGTTCTATATACAGATATGTCCAATGTATCATTTTTAAGTAAATAACCTTATTTTAGTATACTTTAGTGATGTGTTTTGTGAGACCATACTAGGGACTGCATTGTGTATTAGAGGTCATCTGGTGAGATTTTATAACAGGTGAATTACTATACATACATATGTTCCTGAGATGTACATTTCAGCTCCCAAAAACCCAGTGTGGAGTGTGCCCAGGTAAGTGGCTATATGCTGTTGTCCTTGTGTGGTCGGAGAAGTTACAAACCTATAGAGTGAAGGGTTTTTGACTTTGAAAAAAGAAAAGAAAAAAAACAAGCATCTTTCTGATTATGAAAGTATGTACTCATGGCAGAGATTTTGAGAAACGTAAGAAAGAATAAAGAAGGAAATAAAAATCACTCAAAATTCTATTGCCAGATATGCCACTATTTGCATTTGAATGGTTTCTTTTTCATCTTTTTCTGCTGCATTTTTTAAAAAAATGTTAAGATCAAAGTATGCTAATAAATATCCATTGAAACATAGTTTTTTTAAAAAAAAAGACTGCCTAATAACTCCACAAAGTAGATGGAATAATTTATTTCCATTAATTGATCCCCTATTGAATATTTGCATTATGTCCATTGAGGAAATACTGAATTGAACCTCTTGGTACATAAATCTTTATTTTCTTATATTTCTGAAAATAAGACTAGTGCATATGAACTTTTAAGAGATTAAGATGAAACGCAAATCTAAAGTTCTTGAAAAATATTGCCATTCTACCCCTCAAAAGGCTTTTCATTTGCATTCCTTCCAACAGTTCAGGAGAGTACTCATCTACTACCTAGTCAGGTAATCTCCAAAGTTTTTCTCTTTTTTCACTTGGAGTAGTAGAGTGCAGTATCTGGCCTTATGCATGATCTTCCTGCTGCAGCAGGAAGGAGAGCCTTGGATAGCTTCCTTCTGTTCCACAACAGTATCCCATGATTTCCTACCTACAGTTCAGGCTCACCCCCTTATCCAGGCTGTCTTCAATTTCAAATCCTAAACATGGCAGATCATCATAAAGTATTTCGTACTGGTCAGTATCCCTCAAAAGAAAGGCATGTTTGGAGATAGCCTATTATAGATTCCTTACAGGAATGCCCATTTAGCATCAGTGTAAAATGTTTCTCAGAATAATAGCATGCTCTGGCTCAGCACCCGTAGCTCAGTGGTTACAGCGTCAGCCACATGCACCAAGGGTGGTGGGTTCAAACACGGCCCGAGCCAGCTAAACAACTGCAACAAAAAAATAGCCAGGTGGTGTGGTGGGTGCCTGTGGTCCCAGCTACTTGGGAGGCAGAGGCAGGAGAATCGTTTGAGCCCAGTAGTTGGAGGTTGCTGTGAGCTGTGATGCCATAGCTCTCTACCCAGGGTGACAGCTTGAGGCTCTGTCTCAAAAAAAAAAAAAAAAAAAATCTAAACACTAGATAAATCTATTAACTTTTCCTTCACAGCATAATCTGTTACTCTCACTGGTGGGAAGAGTGACTATTTCCAAGGTTTCTTTAATATTTTTAATGGCATTAATAGAGTGGAAAATAAAATAGTCTAATCCTTGTTCTTTGGGGTTTTGGGGGGGGAAACAGAGTCTTACTATGTCACCCTGGGTAGAGTGCCATGGCGTCATAGCTCACAGCAACCTCAAACTCTTAGGCTTAAGCAATTCTCTTGCCTCAGCCTCCCAAGTAGCTGGGACTACAGACGCCCACCACAAGTGCCTGGCTATTTTTTTGTTGCTGCTGTCAATATTGTTTCTATGGCCCAGGCCAGGTTCGGACCCACCACCTCTGGTGCATGTGGCCAGTGCCCTAACCGCTGAGCTACAGGTGCCAAGCCTAAAGCTAATTTCAATTGAGGATGGCGGCTTGGGATGAAGAATATCTGTTGTTCTAAGATGCCAGTTAAGTTGAGAAACTGCAAAAGAATTA